AAGAATGGGCTTGAAATTGCTATTGGGCTCAAACTTGGGCTTGAATATGGAAAATGGGCTTAAAGATGGGCTTGGTGGGCTTGTCTTGGGCCCAAAGGCTGAAGTACACAAGGGGCGTAAGGCCCATTAGGCCTTCGCTCGGCCCACTACTTCGTGGGCTCCAAATCTCAGCCCGGTACTCCTTTTTCAAGAATTCCGAGCAAACCGATAAGTCGGAGGATTAACGAGATGACGTCCAATAGTTTAGTTTTGAAATCCTCGAAGCTTCGACACCCAAATTCGGATTCTAATTCGTGGTAAAAATCAATCAATTGCGACTTTAGTATATCTCAAACTAACAGGCGGCTTTTAGGAGTTGCTCATATTCGACCCGTGATTGATTCGATATCAAACCACGTTTAAGTTTTCTCGAACCATGGATGATCTCGATTGTCATGTAATTGCGAGGGGTCAATCATTAGTTCCGAGGTACGCAATCATTAGGAATTGGTTTAGGGTTGTTCGCAATACATATAATGGTCATATGAAATCACCCGCGATCCGATTGTATATTATTAGTGAAACATTCTATAAACATTCCTTGAACGGTCTATAATGGCTCAAAATTGTCCCTCGTCAATCCTTGTGGTCAAATTGTCAATCCATGGTAGAGTTGTCAGGTCGTGCGCACTTAATTCCTTAATAGATTTTCCCTATCGGTTAGTCTCTCATGAGTGATCAATTCAGAGCAAGATACAACTAATAGTGCATCGATTAATATCATCATTTCATTATATCTGAATAGGGTCGAAATTGAGGATGTCACAACTCTTCCCCCTTAAAGAAATTTCGTCCTCGAAATTTACAATAGTCATACTATTAAAAAAGATGGGGGTGTTGTTGCCTCATTACTTCTTCACTTTCCCAAGTCGTTCCTTCCATCCCGTGGTGTTGCTAAACCATCTTGACCAAAGAAATCATCTTGTTCCGTAGCACGTGCTCCTTATCCTCGATCCATACTGGTTTTTCCACGTATGACACTCAGTCATCCACGTCTATTTCTTCGTAATTTAGCACGTGAGTCGGATCAAATTCATACTTCCTTAGCATGGATACGTAGAAGACATTGTGAACTTGAGCCAAATTCGGCGGCAAGGCCAAACGATAAGCCAAGATTCTGATTTGCTCCAAGATCTCAAACGGCCAAACATATCTTGGGCTTAACTTGCCTTTCTTGCCGAATCAAGACATTCCTCTCATTAGTGATACTTTGAGGAACACATGATCACTCACTTGGAATTCCAAAGGTCTTCGTCATTTGTCTGCGTAGCTTTTTTGACGGCTCTGAGCTGTTTTCAGCCTTTCTCTGATGACTTTTACTGCCTCTATTGATTGCTGTACCAACTCTGAACCAGTGATTCTTCTTTCTGTGACCTCGTCCCAGCATAAAGGCGTTTTGCAGGTTTTATCGTTCAGTGCTTCAAAGGGTGCCATTATGATGCTCTGTTGATAGCTGTTGTTATAAGCGAACTCAACGAGATGCAACTGTTCTTCCCAACTCCCTTTAAAGTCCAAAATGCAAGCTTGCAGTATATCCTCGAGAGTTTGAATTGTTCTCTCGGATTGTCCATTCGTCTGCGGATGATAAACTGTGCTATACTGCAGCTTCGTTCCCATGGCACTTTGAAGACTTTTCCAAAAGGTAGCGGTGAACTTGGGATCTCGATTCAAAGTAATCGTCATCGGTACACCGTGAAGACGAATTATTTGGCGCACGTACAATTCCGCATATCTGTCCATGGTGAAGTCTTTTTCGTACGGCGATGAAATGAGCAGACTTAGTTAGTCTATCCACGACAACCCAAATAGAGTCATTACCTCTTTGACTGTAACATCCTTAATTTCAGTCCCTGGGAAATGGCTATGGTTTAAGTTTGATGGTTTTCCTATTTGAACTAATTTTTACTATTGTTTTGGAAAACCCTATTTCGGATCCTTTGTATCCCTTTGTTTTGTTATTTTTATGGAGACTTTTGTGATCCGAATTTCCAAACACTTTATTCTTGAAAGTTGTTCCAAACATCCTGAAGTTTTACATACTTTAATTTCAGAATTTTTGGACTTGATATGAGTAGTACGACAGCCTCATTTCCGGACCGTGTAAAACTGCCAAGAATGGGTATTTCGGTGATGTTCACCCTTTCTTTATTTTCTACAAGCTTTTCTGGGATGATTTTGGAAAAGTTTCCTTCACAAAAGTTGTTGAGAACTTCTTTTTCTATAATGTATATAAATTTGGGAATTTTTCGAGATGATTTGGATTCTAGACAGAGCTTACTTTGAGAAACAAGAATTCTATTCCAGCGAACTATTTTTAGTCTGTCTTTAAGCTACTAAAAATGGTGTTTACAAAGAGATTCAAATTTGAGAATTTTCGGAATCCATTTACTATGTTTTCAAGTTCAATTTCATGAACAGTGCAAAGCTGTCCGGTTTTGTCAGATTTCAAAGATTCAGCATTTTCTATACGAGAACGTTGGAATTTTGACTTGATGTCTTTTGGTGATATTTGAGGACATTCCCATGCCGAACCTCAGATTGAACGAGATTATTATACATGTTTTGTAGTGGAAAACCCTCGAAAATCATGGAATTGAGTATAATGCGGGGTTGCGATTTTGGCATCGATTAGTGAATTTTGTGCACCCCGGTTGACCCGAGTTAATTGTAGGTGGAACCAGTATGTTCTGAGGACTTAGATCGGCTTCACGATTTGGAAAATTGTAGAACAAACTAGAAGATAAGGTTGGACCAAGTCAAATCTTCTTTTCCAAGCCATATTAATTAGCTTGGACTTTAAGGCCTCCTGTCATGATAATATGTAATAAATGAACGAAGACTTTGAAGCCCCCTTCATCATGACTTGCATTAATTAGTTGGACATTGGAGGCACCACCATCATGACATTCATTAATGGCCATAAGACTTTAGGGGCATTTCATCATTTTATTTTGTCCATTGTCCATTAATGTAAAGATTTTCAAAATCAAGTTATTAATGGCATTTCATCATGGCTTTTGACTCTTATTCATTAATGCAAAGATTTTCAAGATCATTTCATTAATGGCCAAGATTTTCAAGATCATTTTATTATGACTTTTGACTCATATTCATTAATGGCTAAGATTTTAAGAAGATTTGGTAATGATGGCAAAATCTAAGAAGATTTTGTAATGATGTTATTTTGTCTCTTCTTTGCTTGGGCTATTATAAATAGGGAGAAAGAGAGAGAGAGAGCTTACACGCCACTTCGTCTCCATTCTCACGCCACTCTTTCCTCATCTTCACGCCACCACCATCTTGGTTCTTGCTTTCTTACTTCTTGGTTCACGCCAAAGAGAAAGAGTGGGAGAGGAATAATCACCCGAGATTCACCAAGATCCGTTTGCTCACTTGTTCAAGCCCGAGAATTGCCGAGACTCCCCGTGTTCCTTTCTTGTTCTAGTTTTATTCGTTGTGTAAGTGAATTCCCTAATATCGGGAAAGGATGTTGAGATGCATTGTGACGTGGTTTGCTTGGACCATTTCTCAGTCGTTTGGTTGGTCGTAGTTGGTTCATTTTCTTGGTTTGATCATGTTTCATGTTTGATGTTATTTTGAGATAGAACCGAGCCTTGGTTGGTAAAGTGTACATGATGTGGCCATGCGTGATGTTCTCTTGTTTGAACTTTGCTATTGATCTGCCATCGATGCGGGTGCGGTAAGGGCCGACTTAAGTTAACGACGATCAATATATCCTCACTTGATATTAGTGCTTTCACTTGTTGAGTCTCCCCGACTCATCCCCCGTTATTTCCCTTTTTCAGGTCCATAGGATAGCATCTCCCCCAGCCCGCGTTGGCAATCCCATGGAGCAGAGAGCCGATGTGACATTTCGAATTTCGGCCCATTTTTGGGAATTATAAAACGTGTAATTCGTCAATGTGCTTATAGTAAAATCTCGCCCGGGAACTTATCACTCCCGGTTATTGTTTTAAATTTGAGATTTCGCTAGAATCGCATTCGATCGAATTTTGCCGTTATTTAGAGCCCAAACTTTGGTGTTGAATTTCTCGGAGTTTCGGGATGAATTTAATTGGACGGTGTCGATATTATTGTGGTCGGCCTCGAGATTGCTCGGAATATGTGAAAAGTGGATTTTTGACCGGGTGTGACTTTGGACTAGTAGACCTTCTTCGTGGTAGTTTGATTTAATTAATTTGGCCTTTGTCCCTTATTATATTCTAGGATTAATTTGGACCGCTGAATCGTTTTCGATTTTAAATGTGGGCCTTTGGATCGCAATAATTATTTAAATAAACATTTATTTTTCTCTCTCTCTCTTTCTTTCTTTCTCTCCTCCCCCTCTGCTGCGCACGATGGCCCCCTGCACGTGTCTCTTCACGCTCATTTTCCTCAGACCTTCTCTCTCTCCTCTCTCTTCTTCTCTCTCCTTTCTTTCTCTTCTTTCTTCTTCTTCTTCCTTCTTTCTCCCGCATCTGGTTCTGCTCTTGCTTCTGCTCCTTCTCCCTGCTGCCCAACGCCGACCGCCTGAGCTCGCCTGGCCGCCGCTCGTCGCCGCCGTCGCCAACGACCTCGACCGCCGCGCCGCCGTCTGCCAGTCGCTGCCCCTGACCAGCTGTCTCCCCCTCTGTTCCAGATCTCGCTTCCCGACCCCTTTTGCGCGCGTGTCTCCCACCGTGCCGCCGTCCGCCGCCGCGTGCCTCACCGCCTGTCTGGCTGGTGGTCCCGTCGACCCTGAGCCATCCTCCGTGCCACCGATGGTCCCGAGCCGACCGTCCCCGTCACTCCTTTCCCTTCTCTCTCTCCCTCCGGCTTGGGCCAGATCTAGCCGTGTCGGCGCTGCTCGCCGCCGTGAGCCGTCGGCCAGCTGTCGCCTGCGCTTCAGCCACCGATCTCCACGCCACCGCCTGGCCGGCCACCCGACACCACCCCCTCCCCTGTTCTGGCCACCGCTCCCCTTCCCTGTTCCCGTCGCCACCGTGGACCGCCGCTCGAACGCCGGAGTTGCTACCGTTCCGGCGAGGCCCCGGCTCTCCCTTGCTGCCGCCGAGCTGCTGCCGCCTCAGCCGGACCTCCTTGCCGCCCGGCTGTGACCGAGAGCCTCGCAATCGCCGCCGCCGCCGTTCCGACGACTTCCCCGCTGTCCAGCCTCGTTTTATTGCTCAAATCGAGGTAAGCGACACCCTAAACCTTGTCTAGGACTTTGCGTATTATTAGACTTGTTTAGGGGGCGTTTAGGGTGAGATTGGCGGCTAATTAGGGGCTGTTCGGGGCTGATTTAATGGCCGTTTAGTGCGACTTGGTGGCTGAATTGTGGGCTGGCTCGAGGTGAACGAATGAACCGGAGCATGGGCTGAATCGAGGTGGTTTATCGCTGATTTTATGGCTGGTTTGAAGGTCGCATAATGCTGGAAAATTATGTCGAGTTATTTGTTGTTTGTGTGTGATTCAATGCTCGATTGGCGATTGTTCGGGTTGTTTATTTGTGGCTGAATTGAGGGGGAGGATTCGATGGCTGGTGCGGTGATTTTCGAATGGTGATCGTGATAGGTTATCTTATGAGTCGAGTGGAGTGATGTGCGGGCGGAATCTTGGCTGTTTAGTGGTCGGTCATTGCGAGATTTATGATTGATTTTTGGCTCGGGGAATGGCCAGTTCGATGAGCCGATGTTGGGTAATCTATGGAATGAAATATTAGCTATGTTATATCGGAATGGCGTGTTAGTGAGGCTAATTATGCGGCTGTTTGGTGCTGACTTTATGACGGTTTAATGCTGATTTTTGTGTCGGTTGATGCTAATTTGGTGGCGGGTTTCGGGGTGAGTGAATGGGTCGGATTGTGGGCCGAAATGAGGTGGTTTATTGTTGAAATCATGGCTGGATTGGTGGTCATTAGTGCTGGAAATTACGTTAAGTTCATTGGGTGTTCTTGTATGATTTAACGTCCGCTTGGCGACGGTTCGTGTTGTTTGTTCGTGGTTGGATTGACGCCTATTATGTGAACTGTGGCTTGATGTGACTAGAATGAGTGGCGATTGAGCATAATATAACGATATTTGAATATGTGATTGACATGGTAATTGATTGAATTATGTGGTGTATGTATTTGCTTGACCAAGCCCGGATTGATCGGAGGGCTGCCAACCTGTAGGGTGATGACCCGGGTTGTGAGAAAGGACCTGTAGGGTGTTGACTCGGGTCGTGAGAAAAGTCCTGGAGCGTGTTGACGCGGGACAAAGCCCGGATTGATCGGAGGGCTGCCAGCCTGGAGCGTGTTGACGCGGGTGGCGAGAAAGGACCTACGGGGTGTTGACCCGGGTCATGAGAAAGTTAGATGAATGCGCATGTGTATTATACCTAATGGAATTGGTGAATGTACATGTGAATGACGTTCGAGTGATTGTGATATGTACGTGAAGTGTTATTGTATTATAGTGATTTGACTAATGTGCAGAGCTAGCGTGTGATTTGAGGCAAGGTAAGTACATTATGTGAAATTTGTTATGTGAATAGTTAGATTGCATTTTTAGACTCGTCTGGGTACGCATTGGCCTATGTGGGGTTTAGGTTGTCTGCTTATTGAGAAGTGTTCTCATGGTTATTTAACCAAACCATTTCAGGTCCGCGACCGTAGTTGATTGGAGACCCTGCAAGGATAATCTCGAGGATCGAAGACGGGTCAAGGACCCTGTATTTTGAGTGACCCATTTTGTAGAGTAGTTAAGTTGACGAACCACGGTCTCTTTTGTTGAATGTGGTTCTGTCGTTTTTGGCCTAGTGGGCAGTTGTCTTTTGTGAACATTGTATGTATCTACCAAGTGCATGAATTGCAAGTATTGAAGTGTACTATTGCTACCCCTTTGTTCTTAGTAATTGTCTGGGTTGTTTCATTTTGTTTCCGCGCGTGCTTAATTTCTGATGTTTGGGTTGGGTCGACGACATTGCCTGGGTCGTCGCATTCAATGATCGACAATCGAGGGATGTCGCGAGTCCGTGAGAGTTCGGGACGTGACATCCCCATTGATTTGGTATCAGAGCAAGGTCAGCTCGATCCAAGTTGGTCGAAACCTGGAGTGATAAGGAGCGATGACTTTGGGGTAGCCAGTTAGGGAGACTTGTGTGCCATGCGTACCCCAGACTGTGTAATTGTGATTGCTGAGTGACATATGCAATAACATGTGAAGTGCAGGTGTGTCAGGACTTGAGGTAAGTGCACGAATTATGTTGGCTGAGATTGATTGCTGTATGTGATTGGTTGCCTGCCTAGGGAATGGTTGTTATGATTCACTACCTAAGGCTCTAGACTGGGATAGTTGACCTAGGTTTATAATTCCTGTGTGGGATTTTAGCAGGTGAGCTTTTGTGAGAATCAATAAAATGAGTGGCCGAGGTCGAGGTAGAGGCCGAGGTCGAGGTCGAGGTCGAGGTCGCGTAGTCCCGCTAGCTGGACTAATGGGGGACCCCAGGATGGATGAAATGTGGAGGGTGCTAGAGGATGCAGGAATATTATCAGGTAGACAGACGAGGGAAAGAAGTGTTACTGTCGTCGCTGCAGCTGCCAGTGAGATTATTGGGGATAATGGAGGTCAGGGGAATAATGTGATTGGTGGAAATCCTGGTCCAGTGCAAGTAAATGCGATCAGGCCAATGTCCAAGCTAGTAGAGCAGTTTCTGAGATTGAAACCCCCTAAGTTTGATGGGAGAGGCGATGCTGAGGCTGCCCCAAGATGGGTGGAAGAGTTAGAAAAGGCTTTTGAGGTGCTAGGGTGTACTGAGGAAGAAAAGGTAACACTAGCAGTCTACCAGCTTCAGAGCAATGCAACTGATTGGTGGAGGGCCACCAGAGGTCAAGTATTTCCCACTGGCACTGCTCCAAACTGGACCATCTTCACTGAGACCTTCAATGGCAAGTACTTCTCGGAAAGCGCTCGAGAGCATAAATTGGCGGAATTTATGAGACTTCGCCAGGGTCAGATGTCGGTGGATCAGTATGAAGCCGAGTTCGCAAGGTTGTCCAAATTTGCCCCCAGAATGGTGGAGGACCCAACGGACAAAGCTAGGAGGTTCCGGGATGGGCTGAAGCCGAACCTTCGCAGTCAAATGATCTCACTGAACTTGAGGGGCTATAATGAGATTTATGAACGAGCTCAGGCAATTGAGCGAGATCAAACGGACTGGGCTGCAGCTTCTGGATCGCGGTATGTCCCGGTTAGGGACAGCCGTCAATTTGGAAAAAGACCCATGGCAGGAAATAGCCGTTTTGTCCCTCTTATTCGAAGGAATATTGGAAAGCCAAATCATGACCAGAATGCCTCATGCCGGATATGTGGAGGGAGGCATGGCAGCGGACCTTGCCCGAATAGAGGCGGAGCATGTTTTATATGTGGCGGAGTGGGCCATCAGTTCAGGAAATGCCCCAATAATAAACAAGCTAGGTCGCCTGTGCTACTACCTCTGCCGCCCCGGAATGGAAATCAAATTGGAGCCACCCAGCCGGCCAGTCAGAATAGGCCGCCGGCCCAAGGACGGGTGTATGCAATGGCAAGAAGGGAAGCTGAGGACGCGCCTGGCGTGGTCACAGGTACGGTCTCTCTCTGTGATCATGCTGCATATGCCTTATTCGATCCGGGAGCGTCGCATTCATTTATATCTGAACAGTTCGTTAAATTAACTGGGATTGAGCCAAAGCCGCTTGACGTTATGCTGTGTGTGACTACCCCGCTGAATGATAAAGTGCTGATTGCGTTTGGATGTCCTAATTGTAAGATAGTGATTAGCGATAGGGAAGGAAGAATAGATTTGGCAGTCTTATCTATGCATGACTTTGACGTGATTGTTGGGATGGACTGGCTAGTCCAACAGAGAGCTGTTGTGGATTGTAGTAGCAGGGTGATCCAATTTAATCCGGTTGGACATCCTAGATTTGAGTTTATGGGAAATCGAGGAGGAACCTCGATCCCTTGGACTTCGTCGCTCGAGGTAACAAAGTTGCTGGACGAAGGGTGTCAAGGGTTTCTGGCAAATGTAGTTGATTCGACGGCTAGAGAGCCGAGGCTAGAAGACATAGCCGTAGTGTGCAACTTTCCTGATGTCTTTCCTTAGGAATTACCGGGACTGCCACCTGATAGAGAAGTGGAGTTTGTAATTGAGTTGGCCTCAGGAACAGAACCGATTTCAAAAGCACCCTATAGGATGTCACTATCTGAATTAAAGGAATTGAAGGTCCAAATGCAGGAGTTGCTAGATAAAGGCTTTATCTGCCCGAGTACGTCCCCATGGGGAGCACCGGTGTTATTCGTGAGAAAGTAAGATGGGTCCTTGAGGTTGTGTATAGACTACAGACAGTTAAATCAGGTGACTATTAAGAATAAGTATCCACTGCCAAGGATTGATGACCTGTTTGATCAGTTGCAAGGAACATCGATATTTTCAAAGATCGACTTGAGAACAGGGTACCATCAATTGAGGATTAAGAAGGAGGATATACCAAAAACGGCATTTAGGACAAGATATGGGCACTACGAGTTTACGGTAATGCCGTTCGGATTGACGAATGCCCCGGTAGCATTTATGGATTTGATGAATAGGGTATTCAAGGAATTTCTGGATCAGTTTGTAATCGTGTTCATAGACGATATCCTAGTATATTCGAAGAGTTCCGCCGAGCACGAGTTACATTTGGAAAAAGTTCTACAGACCCTAAGGGAACATGCGCTCTACGCTAAGTTCAGCAAGTGTGAATTCTGGCTTCATCGAGTGGCATTCTTAGGACATGTGGTATCTGGAGAAGGAATTGCAGTGGACCCGGTGAAGATTGAAGCCGTTGTGAATTGGCGAAGGCCGACAACAGTTACCGAGGTTCGGAGCTTCTTGGGTTTAGCAGGTTATTACAGACGCTTCGTGGAAGGGTTTTCGGCATTAGCGATGCCATTGACGCGGTTACTAAAGAAAGAGACAAGGTTTGAATGGACGGATAAGTGCGAAAGGAGTTTCCAGGAGCTAAAACAGAGATTAACAACCGCGCCAGTGTTGACAATCCTGTCAGGTTCGGGAGGATATGAGATTTATAGTGATGCGTCGCTAAGAGGATTGGGATGCGTGTTAATGCAACACGGAAGAGTAGTGGCGTACGCATCGCGACAATTGAGACCGCACGCGCTAAATTATCCGACTCACGATTTGGAATTGGCTACGATTATTTTTGCCCTTAAGATTTGGAGACACTACCTGTGTGGGGAGAAATTTCAGATTTATACGGACCATCAAAGTTTAAGGTACTTATTCTCCCAAAAGGAATTAAACATGAGACAACGCCATTGGATGGAACTCCTTAAAGACTACGACTGCGAGATTATGTATCATCCTGGAAAAGCTAACAGAGTAGCGGATGCACTGAGTTGGAAATCGAGCATCGCGCACATGATGGTCAAGGAATGGATTCTATTGGAGGGAGTTCGGGATTCGGAATTTAAGTTTGAGGTGAGTCGGGTCTCAAGTCTACTTGCCGCATTAAGGATTGAGCCGGAAATTCAAACTAAGATCAAGGCCTTACAGTCGACGGACCCAGAGATTCAAAAGATTCTAAGTATGGATGTCGCCAAGAGGAAATTGGACTTTCAGGCATCCGAGGATGGGATTCTGAAGTTCTGCGGAAGGTTATGTGTACCCGGTGATGCAGAACTCAAGGAAGAGATTTTGTCTGAAGCACACCGTAGTAATTATAGTATTCACCCGGGTAGTACGAAAATGTATCAGAACTTGCGACAATATTATTGGTGGAACGACATGAAGGTGGATGTAGCCAAGCACGTGGCTAACTGTTTGACATGTCAGCAAGTGAAGGCACAACATTGCAAGCCAGGTGGGATGTTGCAGCCATTGGAAATCCCCGAGTGGAAGTGGGAACACATCACGATGGATTTTGTGATGGGACTACCGAGGAGTTAGAGGGGCAATGATTCAATTTGGGTGGTAGTTGATCGATTGACAAAGTCAGCGCATTTTCTGCCAGTGTGCAAGGACTTCGCCCTAGACAGGTATGCCGAGATTTACGTGCGACAAATAGTCCGTCTGCACGGGGTACCGGTGACGATCACCTTAGACCGAGATCCTAAATTAACGGCCGCTTTTTGGAAAAGTCTTCATTCGGCATTAGGAACGAAATTACAATTTAGCACGGCTTATCACCCCCAAACGGATGGCCAGTCTGAAAGGACGATTCAGACTTTGGAGGATATGTTACGGGCATGTGTATTGGATTTTAAAGGAAGTTGGGAGGAACAGTTACACTTGATTGAATTTGCCTACAACAACAGCTATCAGCAGAGTATCGGAATAGCCCCGTTTGAAGCGTTGTATGGCAGAGCTTGCAGAACACCGGTGTGTTGGGACGAAGTTGGTGAGAGGAGTATCACGGGTCCAGAGTTGGTTCAGCAGTCAGTTGAGACGGTCAAAGTTATTCGGGACAGACTTAAAACTGCTCAGAATCGCCAAAAGAATTATGCAGACCGGAGACGTAGGCCTTTGGAATTTCAAATAGGGGACCACGTTTTCCTCAAAGTATCGCCGATGAGAGGATTGTCACGGTTTGGCAAGAAAGGAAAATTGAGCTCGAGGTACGTAGGTCCATTCAAGGTCTTAGAGAGAATCGGCACTTTGGCCTATCGTCTCGCGCTACCGCCAAATTTATCTCATGTTCACAATGTGTTCCACGTGTCTATGCTAAGGAAGTATGAACCGGACCCGACCCACGTACTGAATTACGAGGAAATAGACGTGGACGACAAAGTGTCGTACGTGGAAAAGCCAGTTTGGATCGAGGACAGAATGGAGAGAGTGTTGCGGAACAAGACAATTCCAATGGTCAAGGTGATTTGGGAGCACCATGGGACCGAAGGTGCGACATGGGAAAGTGAGGAGTTGATGCGACACCAATACCCCCATTTGTTTGAATAACTGGGTTAGATTGTAAATTTCGAGGACGAAATTTTTGTAAAGGGGAAGAGTTGTGACATTCCAAATTTCGGCCCATTTTTGGGAATTATAAAACGTGTAATTCGTCAATGTACTTATAGTAAAATCTCGCCCGGTAACTGATCACTCCCGGTTATTGTTTTAAATTTGAGATTTCGCTAGAATCGCATTCGATCGAATTTTGCCGTTATTTAGAGCCCAAACTTTGGTGTTGAATTTCTCGGAGTTTCGGGACGAATTTAATTGGACGGTGTCGATATTATTGTGGTCGGCCTCGAGATTGCTCGGAATATGTGAAAAGTGGATTTTTGACCGGGTGTGACTTTGGACTAGTAGACCTTCCTCGTGGTAGTTTGATTTAATTAATTTGGCCTTTGTCCCTTATTATATTCTAGGATTAATTTAGACCGCTGAATCGTTTTCGATTTTAAATGTGGGCCCTTGGATCGCAATAATTATTTGAATGAACGTTTATTTTTTTCTCTCTCTTACTCTCTCTCTCCCTCCCTCTTTCTTTCTCTCTCTCTTCCCCCTCTGCTGCGCACGATGGCCCCCTGCACGTGTCTCTTCACGCTCATTTTCCTCAGACCTTCTCTCTCTCCTCTCTCTTCTCCTCTCTCTTTTCTTTCTCTTCTTTCTTCTTCTTCTTCCTTCTTTCTCCCGCATCTGGTTCTGCTCCTGCTTCTGCTCCTTCTCCCTGCTGCCCAACGCCGACCGCCTGAGCTCACCTGGCCGCCGTCGCCAACGACCTCGACCGCCGCGCCGCAGTCCGCCAGTCGCTGCCCCTGACCAGCTGTCTCCCCCTCTGTTCCAGATCTCGCTTCCCGACCACTTTTGCGCGCGTGTCTCCCACCGTGCCGCCGTCCGCCGCCGCGTGCCTCACCGCCTGTCTGGCTGGTGCTCCCGTCGACCCGGAGCCGTCGTCCGTGCCGCCGATCGTCCCGAGCCGACCATCCCCATCACTCCTTTCCCTTCTCTCTCTCCCTCCGGCTTGGGCCAGATCTAGCCGTGTCGGCGCTGCTCGCCGCCATGAGCCGTCGGCCAGCTGTCGCCTGCGCTTCAGCCACCGATCTCCACCCCACCGCCTGGCCGGCCACCCGACACCACCCCCTCCCCTGTTCTGGCTACGGCTCCCCTCCCCTGTTCTGGCCACCGCTCCCCTCCCCTGTTCTGCCCTAATCGCCCCTGTTCCCGTCGCCGCTGTGGACCGCCGCTCGAACGCCGGAGTTGCTGCCGTTCCGGCGAGGCCCCGGCTCTCCCTTGCTGCCGCCGAGCTGCTGCCGCCTCAGCCAGACCTCCTTGCCGCCCGGTTGTGATCGAGAGCCTCGCCAATCGCCGCCGCCGCCGTTTCGACGACTTCCCCGCTGTCCAGCCTCGTTTTATTGCTCAAATCGAGGTAAGCGACACCCTAAACCTTGTCTAGGACTTTGCGTATTATTAGACTTGTTTATGGGGCGTTTAGGGTGAGATTGGCGGCTGATTAGGGGCTGTTCGGGGCTGATTTAATGGCCGTTTAGTGCGACTTGGTGGCTGAATTGTGGGCTGGCTCGAGGTGAACGAATGAACCGGAGCATGGGCTGAATCGAGGTGGTTTATCGCTGATTTTATGGCTGGTTTGAAGGTCGCATAATGCTGGAAAATTATGTCGAGTTATTAGTTGTTTGTGTGTGATTCAATGCTCGATTGGCGATTGTTCGGGTTGTTTATTTGTGGCTGAATTGAGGGGGAGGATTCGATGGCTGGTGCGGTGATTTTCGAATGGTGATCGTGATAGGTTATCTTATGAGTCGAGTGGAGTGATGTGCGGGCGGAATCTTGGCTGTTTAGTGGTTGGTCATTGCGAGATTTATGATTGATTTTTGGCTCGGGGAATGGCCAGTTCGATGAGCCGATGTTGGGTAATCTATGGAATGAAATATTAGCTATGTTATATCGGAATGGCGTGTTAGTGAGGCTAATTATGCGGCTGTTTGGTGCTGACTTTATGACGGTTTAATGCTGATTTTTGTGTCGGTTGATGCTAATTTGGTGGCGGGTTTCGGGGTGAGTGAATGGGTCGGATTGTGGGCCGAAATGAGGTGGTTTATTGTTGAAATCATGGCTGGATTGGTGGTCATTAGTGCTGGAAATTACGTTAAGTTCATTGGGTGTTCTTGTATGATTTAACGTCCGCTTGGCGACGGTTCGTGTTGTTTGTTCGTGGTTGAATTGACGCCTATTATGTGAACTGTGGCTTGATGTGACTAGAATGAGTGGCGATTGAGCATAATATAACGATATTTGAATATGTGATTGACATGGTAATTGATTGAATTATGTGGTGTATGTATTTGCTTGACCAAGCCCGGATTGATCGGAGGGCTGCCAACCTGTAGGGTGATGACCCGGGTTGTGAGAAAGGACCTGTAGGGTGTTGACTCGGGTCGTGAGAAAAGTCCTGGAGCGTGTTGACGCGGGACAAAGCCCGGATTGATCGGAGGGCTGCCAGCCTGAAGCGTGTTGACGCGGGTGGCGAGAAAGGATCTGCGGGGTGTTGACCCGGGTCATGAGAAAGTTAGATGAATGCGCATGTGTATTATACCTAATGGAATTGGTGAATGTACGTGTGAATGACGTTCGAGTGATTGTGATATGTACGTGAAGTGTTATTGTATTATAGTGATTTGACTAATGTGCAGAGCTAGCGTGTGATTTGAGGCAAGGTAAGTACATTATGTGAAATTTGTTATGTGAATAGTTAGATTGCATTTTTAGACTCGTCTGGGTACGCATTGGCCTATGTGGGGTTTAGGTTGTCTGCTTATTGAGAAGTGTTCTCATGGTTATTTAACCAAACCATTTCAGGTCCGCGACCGTAGTTGATTGGAGACCCTGCAAGGATAATCTCGAGGATCGAAGACGGGTCAAGGACCCTGTATTTTGAGTGACCCATTTTGTAGAGTAGTTAAGTTGACGAACCACGGTCTCTTTTGTTGAATGTGGTTCTGTCATTTTTAGCCTAGTGGGCAGTTGTCTTTTGTGAACATTGTATGTATCTACCAAGTGCATGAATTGCAAGTATTGAAGTGTACTATTACTACCCTTTTGTTCTTAGTAATTGTCTGGGTTGTTTCATTTTGTTTCCGCGCGTGCTTAATTTCTAATGTTTGGGTTGGGTCGGCGGCATTGCCTGGGATGTCGCATTCAATGATCGACCATCGAGGGATGTTGCGAGTCCGTGAGAGTTCGGGACGTGACAGCCGAAGTGCTCACCGTTATAGATGTCAGAGAAGACCGCGCCTACCGCCGAATCACGACGCTTGTAATGTTCGATGAAGGCCTAACGGACTTGGTGCCTCATCCGTACGTAGCATGGCATGGCTACACTAACGGAGAATGGGTTGGATCCCTATGTGGGTTCAACGGTGCTTTGGCGGTCTGGGCGGGCTAGCTCCGGGATAAAGCCATGGGTGGGATGTGAGATGGCTAGGGGGATGAGACAAGGGGGAGATAAAGAAGCGAGAAGCCGTAGTGGGTATAGGATAACCCAAGTCAAGTTTTGCTATCCTTAGTTGGCCTGTATTTAATATGTTCGCATGTGTTGTAAATATAAGGTTTGCTCATGATGCTTCTTGTCTTATTTCCACTGTGTGTATTGATTGTGATTGTCCCGAGAAATGCTTCCGCTTGTGTGTAACGAAAGATAATAATGAACGGGACGTCACGTTAATGACCCCGAGGTGGGGCCGTTACAGATTAATTTGGTATCAGAGTAGGTTTTCCCTACAGTAGGTGCAGTTCGGGGCAGCTTGCGATCGGCCAGTCTGACAAGGGCGGGGAGTGGCACCGGGGCCATATGACCAGATCATTGAGCGGCTTCTGACAGAGATGGCGCCGGGGCAAGAGACCTGATCATTGAGCGGCCTCTGGGCAGAAGTGGCGCCGGGGTGAAGGGCCTGATCATTGAGCGGCTCCTGGCAGACTTCTAGGATGGCTAAGGGCAAGAATGACTGAACTGTGCACCGAATTGGGAAAACGATTCTAAAATCAAAGCGGGAATAAAGACCTGGAGTGATAAGGTGCGCTGAAGTTGGGGTAGTTAGCTAGGAAACACCCCTATGCACACCCCTATGCATGTGAATGATTGATTGTGATTGAATAGGTTAAGTACTCCTGTTTGTTTGTGATCACTGACCTATTCTTGTGTTGTAGAAAGTCTTGTTAGACTATTGATAGCAAAATAAGTGCTCAGGACTAGGCTGTGACTGCTGAGGAAAAAGGAAAGTCCCATCAGGATGCCACGACCTCGAAAGAAGGTTCCCCTCTAGTAAGTTGCAGTTCGGTGTTGAGCCAAGAGAAGGCTATTGAATTTTGATATAACCCGATTCGATGAGGGCGGGGAGTGATTACCAGGGTAGAACCTGATCAAGGAGCGGCTCTTGGCTAGGAAGTGGACGCCAGGGCAAAAAGCCTGATCAAAGTGCGGCTTCTAGCAAGAGTGATTGCCGAGGTTAAAGACCTGAACAAGGTGCGGCTCCTGGCAGGCTTCTAGGATGGCGGGTAAGAAAAGGAATAAACTAAACTAGGTACTGAATTGAAAGTAAGACGGGAACTGTTACTTGAAATGATAAGTGTGATCTTCATGATTGTTATAAGTAAGTAAACTATGTTTGAGGAAAATTTTATCAGAGTAGCGCAGCGGAAGCGTAGTCAAGCTTGCTGCACTCTAGTATGTTCGAACGAGATCGGGGAAAGAAAGGTCGTTGGTCCAGAGCTAGTCCAAATTACAGTGAATGCTGTAAAGGTACTAAGGTAAGATAAGTCCCTGGTACGTAGGATCTTTTGAAATTCGAGAATGAAAAGGGAATTGACCTATCGGTTGACATTGCCATCGAAACTTGCTCAGGTACATATTGTGTTCTATGTATTGATATTGAGAAAGTGTGAGCCCGATCCGGCACGCGTGCTGAATTTTTCGACGCGGTTGAAGTGGACAGCATAGTGTCCTATGCTGAGGAGCAGGTGCGGATCGTGGATTGTAAAGAGTAAATGTTGAGAGGTAATGCCATTCTCTTAGTTAAGGTTCTATAGTGTCACCGGGGCATAAAAGAAGCCACCTGGGAGAGTGAGGAATTGAGGAAAAGTTGATACCTCCATTTATTCGAGGAACCAGGTATGCGTTTTAAATTTCGAGGACGAGATTCTTTTAGAGGGGGAGAATTGTAACATCCTCAATTTCAGTCCCTGTGAAATGGCTATGGTTTAAGTTCGATGATTTTCCAATTTGAACTAATTTTTACTCTTGTTTTGGAAAACCTATTTCGGATCCTTTGTACCCCTTCGTTTTGTTATTTTTATGGAGACTTTTGTGATCCGAATTTCCAAATACTTTATTCTTGAAAGTTGTTCCAAACATCATGAAGTTTTACATATTTTAATTTCAGAATTTTTGGACTTGATATGAGTAGTACGACAGCCTCATTTCCGGACCGTGTAAAACTGCCTAGAATGGATATTTCAGTGATGTTCGCCCTTTCTTTATTTTCTACAAGCTTTTCTGGGATGATTTTGAAAAATTTTCCTTCACAAAAGTTGTTGAGAACTTCTTTTTCTATAAGGTATATAAATTTGGGAATTTTTCGAGATGATTTGGATTCTGGACAGAGCTTACTTTGAGAAATAAGAATTATGTTCCAGCGAACTATTTTTAGTCTGTCTTTGAGCTACTAAAAATTTTGTTTACAAAGAGATTCAGATTTCGTGTTATTCATGAAAAATGTTTGTTAAGGCCTTGTTTATGACATATTCAAATTTGAGAATTTTCGAAGTCCATTTACTATGTTTTCAAGTCCGATTTCGTGAATAGTGCAAAGCTATCCGGTTTTGTCAGATTTCAAAGATTCAGCATTTTCTATACGAGAACGTTGGAATTTCGACTTGATGTCTTTGGTGATATTTGAGAGCATTCCCGTGCCGAACCTCGGGTTGAACGAGATTATTATACATGTTTTGTCGTGGAAAACCCTCGGAAATCATGAAATTGAGTATGATGCGGGGTTGCGATTTTGGCATCGATTAGTGAATTTTGTGCAGCCCGGTTGACCAGAGTTAATTGTAGGTGGAACCAGTATTTTCTGAGGACTTAGGACTCAATTGATAACTATAAGACTTAATCAACAAACAACCAAAACGCTTGGGGCTCCTGTAGTACATATATTGTATTTTGAGAACCTTTCTTTTTTAGTTGAGACTTTAGATTTTTAAAAAAAAATATTAAGTCATATATTACACAACAAATTAACATGTCATTCAATTAGGGAATAAATTTGGATAATTTCGCAAGTTGCCTTATGCTAGTTAGTAGCGTGTAATTTTTAGAAAACTAAAATTTTAAAGAAGAAATTTTTTTTTTTAGCTATCCGTAGGCTTTACCATTAGAGTGCCACACCTGTTATGAAATTTTGGTTATCACCATCAATAGCATACCAGTTCTATCAAAAGGGTCTATCGATCTACTCCTTGGCTAAATCTAATATAACAGTCTGTCACAAAGTTGGTTATTATTATTATTATTATTATTATCTCTTTTTAGGGTGGCAACATATATATGGTCTAACAAGTAATCCGGATTAAAGTTTGGCTTTCTTAAGTTCCATTTCAAGTTTGATGTGGGATCTTTATATATAGTCGAAAGCACAAAAGCTTTTTGTGTATGATTCACTTGCCTATCGATGGAGACATATAATGATTTAATATCTAATCTAATCTTCCTAATATAATTATAGCGATTTAATACGAAGATGGAAAAGATAAAGAAAAAATAAGATCTAACAGAGGTTTTACGTGATTTGGTCTACCAAGAAAAAGTTCCTTGGAAGCCTACTTTCACGGTAGAAATCCTCGTTTTTCTTAATTTCTCGGGGAGATTCATTCTCCTTAAATAGAGAACAATGAAGTTGCTAAACATAGCCTATGATTTTTTATGGTAAATATAGCTATTTCGCATTGGACCTAAATCCTCAATCTTATCATGACTTGGCAAGTTTATCTTGCCAATCTCACGTACACTAATCTAATCCAATCTCATAACGTCATCTATCTCATCGAACAGTCGGTCAACTTCTTTTACTTTTCTTCAAGTTCACTTCTAAAGATGCTCAACCACATATTTCCCATTACAAAATAACTAGGTCTACTCTGATCTAGTTTAATTAAATAGATGTGTGGGGGTGCATAGTGCTTTATGAGAAGTTGATTTTGACTCTCTCTCCACCTACCACCCGGTAATTTTTCTTCTATTTATTTCCCTTTCTTAAGCTAACTCATTTATGATTAACAAATAAAGAAATGCCCTGATAATCACATCATTTCTTTATATCTTTATTATAATATAGTATATGTCATTAACCAATTCAATGGTAAGAAGAAATTAAACTAGAAGATGTGATTTCATAAATATCAGATTAAGCCTGTTGTTTAAACATTTTTCTATGAGTTTGCCCACAGTACATGTTTCTTGTCAATCTCTTGCTCGTGGGTTGCGAATGGAAGACGTCAATGCAACCCTTTAGTCAGGATTAAATCCCACGTATATGACAATAAGGATTACACTCCCTACTTTAAATTTTATCTAAGAAATTTTTATCTAGGGAAAAAGGTAATTTGGTATTTTTCCTTCAAATATTCATTCGAAATCTAACCTACATATAACATATTTTACGTAATTAAATAGAATGCAATACATGGATGAAATGCTTTCTTTGTCTTAAATTTGAGAAGATCATTACATGGATCAGAATTCCATCGAATAATACATTCATCTACACCACGGGCAACTTTATATGAACAGATGGAGTCCTCTCTCATTGAATAGAACAACGAGAGAATGGAACTGTGTCCTTGAAAGAACACAGGAAACCAGGCATTCGAGTACCAGAGAGCCAGATTACTTAATCAACAAGTTAATCAAACGTAAGATACATTGACTTTTGTGAATGCAGCTGATTCACAAAGCGATAAGAATGGTTGTGGGAAAACAATAAACAAGACCACAGAGGTAGGTGTCTTTAGATTGGCTTTCATTACCGACTATTTGCGTAATTTATGATTGTTCAATATTTCTCCGGTCCTTCCAAGAAAGAACGCAACGCAACCAAGGAGAATTCTCACAACTCTCAGGCTCGTCCTTAAATCCTCCAGAATTAGATCGATTAGACGCTAGTCTTACATCTCTCTCCTCGTTATTAAGCTCAATCTGTATACTTTAGCTCCTGAAGATGGAGAGCGGGAACTCATTGATTGGAACAACGGCATTGACCACTGATAGAGGTGATGTCCAGTTGAAGATGGGGGCTGAATTTGAGGTGTTCTTGAATTTTAGAGGACCTGACACTCGCCTAAATTTTGCCGACTGCCTCTATCACTCCATGGATGGAGCTGGTATTCGCGTTTTCAGAGACGATGAAGAGATTAGAAAAGGCGAAGCCATCGGAGGCGAATTGGAGCGTGCGATCAAGAGCTCCACAATCTGTATGCCTATTTTCTCTAGAAACTACGCGTCCAGTGCGTGGTGTCTTCGCGAGCTTGCATACATGGTGGATTGGTTGAGAAAAAGAGACGGTAAAGCGATGATCTTACCAATTTTCTTTGATGTGAATCCCGATGATGTTCAGCTCAAAACCGGGCTATACCACGAGACTCTGCAGAAGCAAGAGGAGAAGTTTGGCTGCGATGTAGTCCAGCAATGGAAGGAGGCTCTAAGGGAGGTCGCTCGTATCAAAGGATGGCATCTCGGAGATAGAGGGTAAGGTTTGAGCTTTTCTTCTTTTTTTGTGTGGTTGAATTAGATATTACATCGATATAATTATACATAATGAGAAATACTTTCATCCTTGCCTCAAAAGTTAAAGTTACCCACTCTTTCATCAAGTTATCATTCAATACACACATATTTAATAACTACCATTACACGTCCACTCAATGAAATAATCAATCAATTTCTTTCAAAATTAGACGAATTTCATCCATTTAAAACTAGAAAACAGAATACACACTATGTGCGAGCAATAAAAAAGGAAGGAACAAACTTTTGGTACATATATTTAAAGAGAAAATCCAAAGGATTTAATTTTTAGAATTTATGGTTGCGCGAGCACATTTTATAAAGTTTAGGATTCCATTCCTATGTTAACAATTTACATCTTTGACCATTGAGTACAGTATATAATTGAATTTTACGTAAACTGACTTGGATTTTGATTGTTTTTCTTTATTTGAAAAAAACAGTTAAGAGTTTGAAAGTTTATATCAGATCACTTCAAATATAGTAGAAATAATTTGTCTGGGCAGGAGGGGTGGCAATTTACTTAGAGTTAATTTTTTCCTATATTCCCGTAGAGTATATGTACAAAACTTTTTGGGAGGGGAGCGGTCAACCCCGCCGCCTCGGCTGGATTGTGTTTAATTTACAATATTCTTAAAGCTTGATAGGTTAATATTTTATCTGCATATTTCTGACTAGATCCTTTGCATCAAATATGACAGTTACGGTGAACTCATTAGATTAATCGTTGCTGAAGTTTTGATCAAGCTGAATAGCAGAGAGAAAAATCTGCCCGATGATTTAGTCGGAATTCAGAATCAATTTGAAGACGTTATGCATCTATTAGATGAAGGTTCTCCTGATGTACGTTATCTAGTAATTCACGGTATGGGGGGCATTGGTAAGACGACTCTTGCCAAAGCTGTCTTTAACCAGATTTCTAGTCGGTTTCACGGGTGTAGCTTTCTTTCGGATGTTCGAGAAGCTTCAAAGGGCGGCAAATTCATTCAATTGCAAAGACAATTATTGTCAGAAATTCTCAACTTCACACCAATGGAGATTTTTAACTCTGATGCCGGGATTAACCAAATTAAAAGGAGATTTCGTGACAAGAAAGTGCTCATTGTTCTTGATGACCTAAATAAGTGGGAACAACTCTCAAAACTCGTAGGAAAGCGTGATTGGTTTGGTCTAGGGAGCAGAATTATTATTACGACGAGGGACACCAACTTTTTGCCGATTGATGAGGAGAACCGAGAAAATAATGTCCAAATGGGTTTCAAAGAGTTCAAAATCTATCAAATGGAAGTATTGCACCATGCCCATGCTCTTCAACTTTTTTGCAAGCATGCTTTTAAAATGGATTCTCCTCCACATGACTACGTTGATATTTCTCGCGATATTATTGGGAAAGCTGATGGACTTCCTTTGGCTCTCGTAGTTATTGGTTCCTCTCTTTATCGAAAAAGTAAACAACTTTGGAAAGATACGTTGAAGAAATTGAATTTAGTTCCCAATCAAGATGTCCATCACAAATTAAAGATTAGTTTTGAAATGCTAGAGGATGCACAGAGGGAAATTTTTCTTGATATTGCATGTTACTTTATTGGTGAAAAGAGAATACATCCACATTATATGTGGAAAGCATTGGATTATTTCCCAAGAAGTGAAATCCTTGTCCTTACGCGTATGTCTTTGATAAAGGTTGATGATTTTGATAGACTATTGATGCATGACCTGCTCAGAGACCTTGGAAGAGAAATTGTTCGACAAGAGGACCTCCAAATGCCTGGGAAACGTAGGAGACTATGGTGTCCCAAGATTGCGTTGGACGTAGTGCAGAGTAGAATGGTAAATTTTATTCAAGGCTACTGTCTTCCCGATTAAGAAAATATCAGCTTAAAGTTTAGAGTACATTCCTGGATATGTTCTTTTTTCTGTATTGCGCATGATAGAAAACTAAATTTGTTTAATTTGAGTGAAATGAAGGCAATATTACAATTTATGTCTACCAAGAGAATTTAGTAGCTTACATTTAAAATATGAAAGTAGAAGCAAGGTTTCTGGATAAAATATACAATTTATCATTCTGTTTGTAAACTGTGATTAATTTTACCCACAACTTTTCTTGTTCTTTTACTCATGGAATGCGTTCTTTTTCCTTTTTTTTTCATTGTAGAAAATTCACTTATGCCTTTCCATGTCGTTAGGGAACAGAGAATATCATAGCACTGAAATTAATTGGACTTTCCAAAGAGCAAGACTTTACAAGTGAAGAGTTTTCAAGACTGCCTAGCTTAAGGTTCTTGGAGTTAGAGGGTGGTAACTTGGTAGGAGACTTTACAAATCTTCTCTCGAGTTTAAGATGGCTCTCTTGGCATCGTTGCCCTTCAGACTTGCATACTGTCAATCTATGTTTATGGAATTTAGTTGTGCTCAAGATTTCGGACAGCAACATTCCCAAGAACTGGAATGGATGGGACTCATGCTTGGTATGGTTTCATATCACTTACGTACATTTTTTGCCATTTGTTTTGCCTAACTTTTCCAATTCTAATTTGTTTCATAGGCAAATCGTGACTTGAAAGTTATACATCTCACTAGATGCCATCTCTCGACGGTTCCTGACTTCTCGACGTGCTTGAATTTGAAGATACTAGTTTTTGATGAACATAGTCCAAAGTCACTACAGATAGGTAATTCTATCTGTAAGCTAGAGCGCCTAAAGCGCTTAGAAATAATTGCACCCCCAGTTCAGCTGTCAAAGTTGTCCGAAAGCCTCGATTTTGACCTATTTGCAGTGCCTTCTGCAATATATGGTCTGAAGTACCTATCAAGTCTAAAGCTGGAGGGGCAGTGTATACAAGAGCTTCATCCCTCTATTGGAGAGATGGTGAGCTTGACGTGCTTGTCTTTAAGGGATTGTCATCAGCTTAGAAAGCTTCCTGACTCCATTGGGAAATTGAGATCATTGCTCGAGTTGGATTTGGCCCAGACAGAAATAATAGGGCTACCTGATTCTATTGGATATCTAAAAAATTTAGAGAAAATGAGCCTGGATTTTACTCCGATAAGAGAGCTACCAAACTCCATCGGAGGACTACAATCATTGCTTGTCTTAGACTTGTTGGGTACAAAGATTACAGAATTGCCTGCTTCCATTGGATATCTTAAAAGGTTGGAGCGCTTGCTTCTAGATCAGAGTGAGATAAGAGAGCTACCAAAGGCCATAGGGATGCTGGAGAATCTTAAAATGTTGTTTTCCCAAGATTGTAGAAATCTTGAGGGGGAAATCCCTAGCGAAATTGGGCAACTATCCCTTTTAAAGGTGCTAAACTTATCAGGTAGTAAGGTTAACAGAGTGCCAACCACCATTAATCAGCTATCTCATCTGCGCGAACTTCGTTTAGGAGAATATAGTAAGCTCGAAAGGCTGCCAGAACTTCCTGCGAGCCTATACATTTTAGGTTTTGAAGCGCGGACTGTGCTTGGCACCCTTGGACAAATTTCATCGAAGTGGATTGGGGAGTCACCAAAAGTGGAGGAGTGGAATTTAAGTAAAGATATCACATGGCCTCCTGAGCTTTGGACACTTAGCATATCATGTGACGATCCGCGATCTCTCACAAGGCTTCCTTTCACTCTTCGTCTTTTGGAATTAAGTGATGTCAAGTTACCACTAGAAGAGCCATTCTTTTCCAACTTGAGATATCTGAGAAATTTGTCTGCGTTATCACTTTTCAGATGTCGGTTGAAAGAGGTCGAGTTTGAACAGTTAGAGACACTGCATCACTTGATTGTTGTAGAATGTGAATTGTTAGTGAGGCTATCGGGTTTATCAAGCATAGGGAAGCTCGAAGAGCTGACGGTGAATAGTTGCTCACAACTACTCGAGATTCGAGATTTAGGAGAATTGGAATCACTGAAAACTTTGTCAATTCAGGATTGCGGCTCCATAGAAAGGTTACCTAATCTATCAAAACTACATGAGTTGCGGACATTACACCTCTTACACTGTGAATCACTGCAAGGTTTGCCTGATGTACCAAACACATGCCATCCCTATGTTCATGGATGCCCAACATTATGCGGGTCTGGTGACAAGCTCAGAGATTGTAGAAAATGTTGCAAATTGAGAGGGTACATAACCGCCATTTTCCCAACTTGGTTTTATGGAGTGCCACGACTTGCAAGGCCGAGTACGTAGTGGAGAGGGAGGTTGTAACTACCCTTCAGCAAGGTGGTGGCACTTTTGCTTGAGTTCGATCAAAGTTGTTGAACGCTCACCCATGTCTGTCCCTAGGGGTGTCAATGGGTCAGATCGGGTCGGGTCTATATGCTAGCCGACCCAAAACAATAAGGGATGTATGTTGTTTGACCCAATCCCGACCTGAATCGCATGTGACCAGAACTCAAAACCCAGGTCAGGTCGATCCGGGTCAGGTTTTCAGGCTTCTTCTTCTTCTTCTTTTTTTTTTTTTGGGGGGGGCGGTGTTTCTTCATGTAGAGGACAATATTCGGACAATATAGTTTGAAGATATAATTTGGAAGTAGACTGAACTGAATCGCTTTTGTGGTTCGGGGCATTCTATATCGGACCCGACAGTTCTCTCCCATTTTCCCTCCCTTGTTTCTTCTCGCTGGCTTTGTGAACTCACAAACTGAAAGCTGGATTGGAATTAGCCTTAGATGGTTCACTGATTTGATAAATCTGGGATCATAGGATCACCAAGAGAAGCTTAAGTAGCTATTAGATCATCTGATCGGCCATGAGACCAATGCCAACAAGACCCAGAATAACATCAAACACCAATGTGTAAATAAGAACTGAAAATCTTTCAAGAATTGCGAGTGGCATAATCCACCAGTCTAATCCGAACCAAGAACTAATTTTGCAGGTGGGGTCGTCAACTTGTCCACAACTCTCTACACAATATATTGAGCTTGATGACACTGCTCCATAAGTGGGGTTGTCCACTTGTCCTGCAAACACAAAACAAAGAGTTCCAAGTATCCAGAGCTTGACAAACTCCAGCAATGCTTCATCCGTCATGAATGTAATGTTACATAGAAACACTACTGTAGTTAATTCACACATACATATTAAGTGCAAGAACAATGATTCACAAAAACATATTAAGTGCAACCTGCATTTGAGATTACACTACAAAGATTTCCAATTTGCTGCCCTACATGATATATTAGTATGCACATTATAAAGGTTTTACTGCAGTTAATTCACATTACAAAGATTTCCAATTTGCGTGTGAGAAAACAACATATAATTGACATTATAAACGGATCTGTTCTCCATTTTGCTGCCCTATGTGATAATCGTAGCATTCAGCTACTTAGAGGGCACAGAGGCTCCAAACTGCTCCACAAGCACACGAGCACACAAACCCACTTCAATCGATACTAGTTCTTATTGCGAAAACAATGCATAGAAGAGGCACACGAACTTCCAAGAGCTGAAATGATGGTCACAGACTTCAAGTGAGAAGCACATGTTGATTCAGCTGTTTGGCATGGAGGAAGGAAACGATAGTCTCACTTATAATGGATCTAATAACCTGATAAAAAAGGACGTTCCTTCTGAGACAGATCAACTTACTCATGTTTACACTTTTGTCCTGCGTCCTGATTCTACCTATACTATCTTGATTGACAATGTTGAGAAGCAATATGATAGCTTGTACTCTGACTGGTATCTTCTCCTGCCAAAGCAGATCAAGGATCCCGAGGCGAAGAAATTAATCTATCTACTGAATGCTCTAGTTAATCGTCGTTGGCTATATGTCTAGATAATGACCTATCTGGCTAACATTGGCAGCCTGAAGACTGGGATGACAAAGGGTACATTCCTGATCCTTAAGATAAGAAGCAAGAGGTAGTGATCCTGCATTCCTTAACACTGCTACCTTTTAAATGCAATATTCCCTGTAATTCTTTTAAATGACATTGTACATGTGACTGCAGGGTTATAATGACATACCAAAAGAATGGATATGTTCACCAGAAATCCTAAGACTTATTACAAAAGTGCAATTGAATCCTAAAACTTGCAAAAAGTGCAATTGAGTTTTAAAACTTGTCAAATTGGTTCGATCAAGTTCTAAAATTAACTCCGTCAAACTTACTAATGGAAAATGCTGACGTGGCTTATTTTAATATTTTCTCTCTCCTACGTAACAATGATGTGGCTTATTTTAATATTTTCTCTCTTCTACGTGGCGATGACGTGGCTAAAATATGAAACATAAAACTAAAACAACGTCATTTTGGCCCAAATTTGATTTTTAATACTAATTTTATTTAAATTAAATTTAAAAATTAAGCTTTATAAAAAAGGAGGAGGAGACAGGCGTGGAGGGTTGCAAGCGTTCATTGCCGCCCCACCATCACTGGGAGGGGCCGGTGAGGGTGGGGGACGGCAGGCAGGGGTCGACCACCACTGTCGACTCTCGATCAGGTCTGGGCAAGGGCCAGCGACCCTCGCCGGGTCTAGGGGAAGGTCACGACCCCTTGGCTAGGTCTGGAAAAAGGTAATTTGGTATTTTTCCTTAAAATATTCGTTCGAAATCTAACCCACGTTTAACATATTTTACTTAATTAAATAGGATGCAATACATGCATGAAATGCTTTCTTTTTCTTAAGTTTGAGAAGATCCTTACATGGATCAGAATTCCGTGGAAATCATACATTCACTTACACCACGGGCAATTTATATATGGACAGATGGAGTCATCTCTCATTGAATGGAGCTGCGTCCATGAAAGAACCCAGGAAACCAGGCATTCGAGTACCAGAGAGCCAGATTACTTAATCAACAAGTTAATCAAACGCAAGATACATTGACTTTTGGAACTGAAGCTCATTACAAATGGAGATTTAATATAAATTTACCACTTCAGCAGCTGATTCACAAAAGGAGAAGAATGATGGTGGGAAAACAATAAACAAGAACGAAGAGGTGGGTGTCTTTAGATTGGCTTTCATTACCGACTATCTGCTTAATTTATGATTTTCCAAAATTTCTCTGGCCCTTCCAAGAAAGAACGCAACACAACCAAGGAGAATTCCCACAACTTTCAGGCTCGTTCTTAAATCCTCCAGAATCACATCGATTAGACAATAATCTTAGATCTCTCTCCTCGTTGTTAAGTTCAATCTGTATATTTTATCTCCTGAAGATGGAGAGCGGGGACTCATCGATTGGAACAACGGCATCGACCACTGATAAAGGTGATGTCCAGTTGAAGATGGGGGCTGAATTTCAAGTGTTCTTGAATTTCAGAGGGCCCAACATTTGCCTAAATTGTCCTTACCAAAAAAAAACATTTGCCTAAATTGTTCTTCCATGGCGTAACCGGCCGTGGCATGAGCATATAACATGGGCAATGAAGGTTTGTGGAGGATCATCATTTGCTCATCGTCTCTCCAGGTTCTCACTTGGAGCCCTTTGTCATATAATATGGACTGAAAGAAACAACTCTATCTTCCGAAACAAGAGTATTTTCATCCCTGGTATGCGCAATCATATGATCAAAGTGGTGAAGGATAAAACTTCAACCCTTGGAAGAATTGCAGACACGCCATTGAATAGGAGATTACAAAGGAGTTGGGGGCTATCACCTTCCATTTTTTCTTAATTGGGCTGGTTTGGCCTTCCTTTGTATAGCTTTTCCTTGCTTCCTTTATCTTTTTGTGGTTGAGCTTTCCGTGTTCCCTTGGATTTGTATAGTCCCTTTGGAACTTGGTTAGTCTCTTGCTTTCCTTTGTATTTGGTGATTTGAAAGTAATATATACCTTACCCTTACCAAAAAAAAAAAAAAAACATTTGCCTAAATTTTGCCGACTGCCTCTATCACTCCATGGATGGAGCTGGGATTCACATTTTCAGAGACAACGAAAAGATTAGAAATGGCGAAGCAATCGGAGGCGAACTGGAGCATGCAATCAAGAGCTCCACAATTTGTATGCCCATCTTCTCTTGAAACTACACGTCTAGGCATGGTGTCTTCGCGAGCTTGCATACATGGTGGATTGGTTGAGAAATAAAGGTAAAGTGATGATCTTACCAATTTTCTTTGATGTGAATCCCGATGATGTTAAGCTCAAAACCGAGCTGTACCATGAGGCTCTGCAAAAGCGAGAGGAGAAGTTCAGCTGCGATGTAGTGCAGCAATGGAAGGAGGCTCTAAGGGAGGTCGCTCGTATCAAAGGATGGCAACTCAAAGAGAGGGTAAGGTTTAAGCTTTTCTTTTTTTGTTGTGTGGCTTAATTAGATATTTAATCGATATAACTATTTATAATGAGAAATACTTCCATCCTTGCTTCAAAAGTTAAAACTACCCATTCTTTCATCAAGCTATCATTCAATACACACATATATAATAACTAACACTGCACATCCACTCAATGAAATAATCAATCAATTTCTTTCAAAATTAGATGAATTTCATCCATCTAAAACTAGAAAAGAGAATACACACTATATGTGAGCAAAAAAAAAAAAAGGAATAACAAACTTTTGGCATATATTTAAATAGAAAATCCAAAGGATCTGATTTTTAGAATTTGTGGATGCGGGACCATATTTTATAAAGTTTGGGATTCCGTTCTTATCCTAATAATTTACATCTTTGACCATCGAGTATAATATATAATTAAATTTTAAGTAAACTGACTTGGACTTTGATTTTTTTTTATTTGAAAAAAACAGTTAAGAGTTTGAAAGTTTATATCAGATCGCCTAGGCTGGTTTGTGTTCAATTTACAGTATTTTTACAGCTTGATGTGTTAATATTCTATCTGCAATATTTCTCACTAGACCCTTTGCATCAAATATGACAGTTACGATGAACTCATTAGATTAATCGTTGCTGAAGTTTTGATCAAGCCAAAAAAAGAGACAAAATCTGCCTAATGATTTAGTCCGAATTCAAGATCATGTTGAAGAAGTGATGCGCCTGTTAGATGAAGGTTCTCCTTGTCGCGCCGCCCTTTTTTTTTTTAGCGGTGCGTGCTAAGAAGGTATTTCCATACAAGGGTCTCTCCCAGACCATACCTCACGTGACAGCGAGTGGTAATTTCCTATCTTCCTATTTAACCTAAGTTTTCGATTTGGAGTCACCACTAGTCATTATTGGTAGGTTGACTAGAAACCTAATCGGGGTACGGGAGAAATACTACGATTCTACGAA